ATATAATCACTACCATTCACAGGGTTTTTATTAGTTACTAGGCTTATTTATTATTTTTAGACATTTTTATTTTGCAGGAAAAACTTTACCTTTAAAAAACTTTTAAAAATCCAAAAGACAAACATCTAACTGAAAACAGCTTGATGAAATAAAATGATTAAAAAGAGAGTGACAACTTATGGACCTCCCAAAGAACTGAAGGGAAAAAACAGCTGGAAAAAAAACTAGATAGATCGATCGATCCACAAGAGAGACACCTTAGCGAGACATCAATAGAGCTGGGGGGGAAAGTAGAATAACTTCTCAATCAATCAAAATCAATCAATAAATCAATCCAAAAGAGAGACACCTTTAGCTATGAATAGCCCAAAGAGCTGATAGCTCAAAAAACTATAGGTGGAAAAAAGCTGAGGGGAAACAGAACTTAAATCACTCACTAAGTTGCTGGCAGATAACAAAAATTCAAAACAGCACATATAGAAAAGACTAACCCCCATTTAGACTTTTAATGGCTCCAGAACTGACATGCTGGATCAGATTTTTATGGGTTAATAATCCCTCTGTGATTCCAGCGGGAGGTGTGTGAGCTTTAGTGTTTAGTCATGAAGCTAAACTACCTTGATTGGCTAAAGCTGATCTACACTAATGGGCTCAATGCCCAGACAGCACAACACCATCATCATTACGGCTGAGCAATAATAGAATCAACTCTTCATGGCCAAATTTTCTAATACAACAAGGCTAATTACACTTGTAACCAAGAGACGCCCCTAAAATATGATCAAATATACCACATAATGACACATTAATGATGTTTTTGATGGCTTTTGTATATTTCTGGGTCATATCTGTAACTGACTTTTCAGTTACATCTACATTATTAAATGCCAAGCATGACTATAATGTGCTTCTTCAAATATTTAATGACAAATAAGTGGGGTATAACAGTTTAAAGCACATCATCAGAACAAAATGGTGCTTTTTTTTGTTTGCACTGTTTAATATTCATAAATTGCTTAAAACAAGCTTATTTAACTGCCTGTCAAAGATTTCCAATGTAATGTTTATTACTCTCACCTCTCACTGGCTCATTGCCACGCTGTGTCAGTCTTTAATCAGCGTCTCTCTCTCTCTCTCTGATATTGATAAATGTCTCAGAACTAATGCAGAACTAACATGAGCTCTTTAAGTAGACAGTGTGGAATGTGTCACATGCAATGAAAAATGACATTCTGCTGATCAACCAATTGCAAAATGCAGTGCAAAGTGCAAAATCGAAACAGGATCAGTTGCAAGACTCCGGTAACTTGAACAGCTCGGTGGGTTTGCGTCAGTGAGTGTATGAACTATAACAGTGAATCATAGAGACTTCACTCACGCATCCACCAGGATCAACATGTCTTTAGGTGAAGCTGCACCTTGGATATACCTGCAAACACACAGACACACACACGCAAGAAAAAACATCAGGCATAACAACTGAGAGAAAATGAAGAAAAAACAACACTTGCTATCTCTCTCACAAGCAGACACATATAAACTCCAGAAGCACAGGTTTGCTCACCAGGGCCTTCGGCGTACATCATACAGGTCAATCTTATTTGGTGTGCTCCTTGTGTCAACCCAAGGGGAAGCTAGAGCACATGGGATAATGGGATATTGGGTTTATTACGATTATTATCTTCCCAACCTTCTACAATCACTTCTAATTAAGAAGGTAAAACATTTTCAAGTACCAGTCATTGTGAATAGAAATAGGTTTTATGTTATATGAACAAAATAAGAATGAAAAAAATATATATATATATTATTCAATACAAAATATAACATTTTATTTAAAATCTAGGTTTAGTATTTAATATTAATTAAAATAATAATAATTTTAAATCAACTGAATATTATTTTGATACTCTTAGAAAAATAAAAAAAACAGCTAAGAGGTGATTAAAGTCACTGTTCATTACTGTTCAACCTTCTACTATCACTTCTAATAAAGTAGATCAAACATTTTCAAGTATTAAGTGGCTCTTTAATGCAAGTAGACATAGGTTTTATAGGTCTGTTATAAATGAACAAAATAAGAACAAACAAGCAAACAATTAAATAAATAATCACAATATTTAATACTAAATATTTAATTTTTACTTAATATTTAATAAAAAAATTAAGTATTAAATATCAATTTAATACAATGTAATTAAAATAAGTGTAATATTATTTTGATTCTAAAGAAAAAAAAATGAAACAACAGCTAAGAGGCGAATCATCTAAAAATATCATGACTTGCATTACATTTATAATTTCAATAAATTATATAATTGGAAATCTGATGTCATTTAATAGTCATATAGCACTCACGACTTCCCTTTTACTAACATGAGGTTGTCTATGTTCTATGCACTTGCTTTTACTTTTCAGTTTTTATTTCCTGCCCTGTTTATTGTGTTCACCCTTATCTCATTAGTCTACAGCCCTTGTTCCAAATGCCACCTTCACGTCCCACCAGCAGATGAAACACATTTGGGACAGGAACAATGTCCTGCAATGGCTGCATATATAGTGTCCGTGTGCTTTCCGTGGTCTCTGTGTTATGGTAAATTCCTGTAAATAATGACACTTCTTGATAACACGGAGTACCTATTCATTCCAGTGCTTTACCTGGGAAGTATCGAGCCAGGCCAGTTGCACTGCCAAACACCTGCCAGAGGAGGGACGGGTCATTCTCCCAGTTCTTCTTGAAGACTTCATCTAGAGCCGCAGTCCAGTTTAGCTCATTCAGGATTATAGTGGCTGTTACAAACACGTAAATATAAAGAATAAATCCCATTCTCGACGTAGAGCAGTTAACTCAAGCTGACATGTTTTCTGAGAGCTTTGTTCTAACAAACACTCAGATGAACCCCAAATCAGGAATAAATCAATAATCTGGCTCTCAAAACTTCAGATCCCATCATGTTATGCTGAACTCGAAGTGATAAACCACTTGAAGGAGAAGCTGCGGTAGAGGAAACAACAAAGTGAACTATTAGCTAATGCAGTTCTAATGGAATAACAGGAAAATTGGGTCGTAAATAGACACTATGTCTGCTGTAAGTGAGAGTGATGATAACAT